ACATACATGCATACCCACACACACACACACACACACTACCGGTCAAAAGTTTGGGATCAGTAAGACTTGTAATGGTTTTTAAAGAAGTCTCTTATGCTCATCAAGACTGCATTTATTTGATCAAAAATACAGAAAAAACAGTAATATTGCAAAATGTTATTACAATATAAGATAATGTTTTCTATTTGAATATCCTTTAAAATATAATTTATTTCTGTGATGCAAAGCTGAATTTCCATCAGCCATTACTCCAGTATAAATTGTCACATGATCCTTCAGAAATCATTATAATATGCTGATTTAGAATTATCAATGTTGGCAACAGTTGTGCTGCCAAATATTTTTTTGCAAACTGCGATACTTTTTTCAGGATTCTTTGATGGATAAAAAGTAAAAAGGAACAGCATTTATTCCAAATATAAGTCTTTTCTAACAATATAAATCTTTGCTATCACTTCTTAACAATTTACGGAAGTTCTAAGCGGCCATGCATTATTTTTTTTTTCCTTCTTGTTTTCTCGTTATAACGACTTAATTTCTCGTTATATCGACATAACGAGAGTTGTTTTCTCATTATAACGACTTAATTTCTCGTTATATCGACATAACGAGAGTTGTTTTCTCATTATAACGACTTAATTTCTCGTTATATCGACATAACGAGAGTTGTTTTCTCATTATAACGACTTAATTTCTCGTTATATCGACATAACGAGAGTTGTTTTCTCATTATAACGACTTAATTTCTCGTTATATCGACATAACGAGAGTTGTTTTCTCATTATAACGACTTAATTTCTCGTTATATCGACATAACGAGAGTTGTTTTCTCGTTATAACGACTTAATTTTCTCATTATCTCGACAAATTTATTTATTTTATTTTTTTTACAATGATTGAATAAAAGTTTTAATTTCTTTAAAAAAAAGAAAGAATAAAAATGTAGACCCCAAACTTTTGAACTGTAGTGTATATTGTTATAATATATTTCTATTTTAAATAAATGCTCTTCTTTTTAACTTTTTATTCATCAAAGAATCCTGAAAAAAAGTATCAAGGGTTCCAAAAAAAATATTAAGCAGCAGTTTCCAGCACTGATAATAAATCAGCATATTAGAAATGATTTCTGTAGGATCATGTGACACTGAAGACTGGAGTAATGATGCTGAAAATTCAGCTTTGCATCACAGGAATAAATTAGTTATTTATATATAATTAATATTTAATGTATATTAAAATAGAAAAAACTTTATTTTACATCATAATATTTTACAATATTACATTTTTTCCTGTATTTTTGATCAAATAAATGGAGCCTTGATGAGCATAAGAAACTCCTGTAAAAAACATTAAAAATCGTTCTGATCCCGAACTTTTGACCGGCAGTGTATATGTGGTCTTTTCATATGGGCCACTTTATTTAGCACTACATGTGATGAAATATATACCAAACAATCAAATCTGTCCAGAACTTATATAAATGCATGCATAAATCTAAAACCTTAACATTTACATTTTTATATTTGAATTTCAAGTCATAGGTACTTTGTTGATGCAAAAAAAAATCTGTTCTACCTTTAGGTAACTTATTGTATTTTTTTGTGTCAAGATTCTTTCATTTGACCCACTTTAAAAAATGTATTTTGTTTCCTGCATAGTCATGCATATTTATGATCTAGCAGAACCTCTCACACAGCTCTGTATATGTCTGTTTCAGCAAATCATGAAGGATCGATGGATCAACGCAGGCAGTGAGGAGGATGAGCTCAAGCCGTTTGTGGAGCCGGAGCTCGACATCTCGGATCAGAAGAGAATCGGTATGAGATCAGCACTCTTACATGAAATTATTTTTAGAAACAAAGTACTGTAGGACAGGGGGCTTCAAAGTCAGAAATGTGACTTTTACAGTACATTTAAAATGTTTGTTGTTTTTATTTTGAACTTTAACACACATAAACTAAAAGCTGTAAGATTATTTACAATGAGATTACAGATGGTTGTGCTAGTAAAGTTAATACCGCCGTCCTATGGCTACATATTACTGATGTTCACGTTCATTACTGCCATTTCCACAAAATTGGTTTGAATGTTTTGAACGTCCCAGTTAGACCAGATTTTTTACAGAAATAAAGCAAAGGGTCATTAATTTAAGGCACAAAACATGCTTAATGCAGGTACATGAATGCAAAAGCTCCTAGCTATGCAAACTTAATTTCATGCACCATTGAATTCTGGCAGACCACAGTTCATAACATTGCAAGTGTATTTGCATTTTCAGTGCTTCTATAACATGCATTAGTGTCAGTTGTTTTCTCCTGCAATCGGATGCTTTGTTTCTTCTCGATAGGTGAGTAACACCGTGTCTGCGCCGCAACAGCTAAAGTCTGTCTAGTACACTAGACGTGACAAAGCGACCGTTTGAAATCATTTGAAATTTGTGTCAATACGTCATAAATAGAACGCAGCAGCAGTTTTCTGTCGGTGATTTGTCGTGTTGTGCCGCATCCAGTGTAGACCATAAGATATGTATATATATATCTATGGTGTAGACAGCATCACTGATTATAATGAGTTCTATAGTATTTTGTCGCGCCGCTCACGTCCGGTGTAGACACGGTGTAACATTGGTTTTGCTTTGTTTCACAGAACTAATCGTTGCCTGGGTTGCGTACGTATGTGTGGGGCGGAGCTATCAAAATAGGGGCGAGACCCTTTTGGGGTAGGGGCGTGTTTGTTTTGGTGATTTCAAATGTCAACATTGGCTACCAGAAATCGCTTACCCCACTTTTAACGACTTGCTGTTCACAAGTTTGGGGTTAATTTTTTTTTTTCTTTAATGTTTTTGAAAGAAACCTCTTATGCTCACCAAGGCTGCATTTATTTGATCAAAAATAAAGTTAATATTGTGAAATATTATTACCATTTAAAATAGCTGTTTTTTTTTTTTATTTTAATATATTTTCAAATGAATTTATTCCTGTGATACAAAGCTAAATATATTCAGCATCATTACTCCAGTCTTCAATGTCACATGATCCTTCAGAAACCATTCTAATATGCTGATTTGCTGCTCAATAAACATTTCTTAGTGTTATCAGTTTTGAAAACAGTTGTGCTGTCTAATATTTGAAGGATTCTTTGAGTAGAAATGTCAAAAGAACAACGGTTATTTAAAATTGATATATTCCTAATAATTTGTAAAAGATTATATATGTCTTTGCTGTCACTTTTTATCAATTTCATGTATAAACTTATTTAATGAATAACAGTATTAATAAAATCTTGCTGACCACAAGCATTTGAACAATAGTGTACCTGAATTGTAATGTCCTGTTTAATTGCACATTTAAAGGCAACTCTTGAGCACTGAAGTTTGTGAAAGTCACAGTGTAAGCTTTTGCGTTTTTAGCTGGATAGTCCAAACAGAATCCAAATATATAGACGTAATAAGAGCTTTCCCACCCGCTCATGATTTTATTGTTATTAGTGAGTGTTCGTGAGAGTGAGCCAGAGCTTTATGGTTTACGAAAGCCATTAAGGGAGATCCAAATATATTGATGTTTTGGCTTTAGCGCACTGCGTAAGAGTCGATCACCATTTTTTTTGCTCCGCAGAAGCTGTTAGTCTGGCATGCTTCCTTCAACGTGACGCTGATAGTGGCTGGTGTGCCTGTGGGTTTGAGCAGAGTGCAGGGGTCGATGGTATCTGAGGTCAGACAGGCCCTGTTCTTTCCACTGCTGCTGCAGGCCCGTCTGCCTTTCAAACTCTCCATTGATCTCTAAGCTCCAGTTCTGTGTCCCGAAAAGCATTTACAGCTAGTGCAGGAGCAGCTCAAGCACGTGTCTAGCATGTGAAACTGTGACGACATTTTGAGTTGCTTATCGCTTTTTTCATAGTAAAGCTAAAAGGATACCAGTAATTATACTAGGTCTCTCTTTTTTACTTATGAGGCCTGTTGAGATACAAAGTAGCCAGACATTATTAATAAAGATTTAGAATAAAATATATATTTTTTAATTATATATTTTTTTGTGTTCAAGGTTGGCTAAAATGCATGTAGCTCAGATTTCAGCTATTCTGCTTTTTATATATCAGCGTTTTTTGTGCACAAATATGTAAAGAGTCAAGATGCACGTTTTTATCAATCTACTGGGAAAAAGGTTGTTTGTATCACTGTGTTTATTCCTGTGATGGCAAAGCTGAATTTTCAGCAGCCATTACTCCAGTCTGTTGAGGCCTTTGAAAAACTTGGAGGTCAACCGATTTTGACACTCAACCAGCTGGTAACAGTATCCTACATTGACTGCTGGTATATGGTTTGTTGCAGATATCATGGTAGGAATGGGTTACTCAAGGGAGGAGATCCACGAATCTCTAACCAGGATGAAATACGACGAAATCACGGCTACCTACCTACTGTTAGGAAGAAAGTCTACTGAGGTGAGTTATTCACAATGATGTTTTAGAGCTGGTTGGTTGCAATGCACAGTTGGGGGTTAAAGATCTAGCTAAATAAGAGCATATGAGAGCTGTTCAAATGTTTGAGATTTGTTAAGATTTTTTATAATTTATTTAAAATCTTTTATGTTCACCAAGGCTGCATTTATTGGGGGAAAAATCAAGTAAATGTACTATATTTTAAAAAGTAATTTATTCCTGTGATGCAAAGCTGAATTTTCAGCATCATTACTCCAGTCTTCAGTGTCACATGATCTTTCAGAAATCATTCTAATATGCTGATTTGATAGCATAGCTGATTTTGCATATTTTTTGAGGAGACCGTTATCTATTTTTTTTTCCAGATTCTTCGATTAGTAGAAAGTCCAAAAGAACAGCTTTTATTTGAAATAGAAATCTTTTGTAAAATGTCTTTACTGTCACATTTCATCAATTTAATTCATCCTTGCTAACTAAATTTTACTTTTCAACAGTAGTGTGTCTGAGTAAGATATGTTAGTGTGATTTGACACCTAGTCTCTCAGCCTTAAGGCACAAACTTGGCAAGTAATAAATATATACTCTTGCAACTATACATTTGCTTTGTTTGCAGATTTATAGTCTCTACCTTCGGACATTTTAGGCACAAAATGTAACCATTTTTCCCTGGTGTTTTTGACGTCGTCTGTATAACCTGTCATGGAAATTGCTGTACCTTTATTTCAATGAGTTACCACTTAGTTGCACTCTGCTCTATTATTGTGGTGTCATCGATTTTAGATTTACCCACCCATAAAGGTCATGTTGGCTAGACAACCCTTTCCTGCCTAGCTAGACAGAAAAAAACAGAATGAGCTGCAGTGTGGGCTAGTCTTTATAACCATCGTCAAACATCTGGCTATATTTTACATCTGATTATGAATGTTACAGACTTGTAGCATGCCGGTTGGCATTCTAAACCCATATTACTGGTTATCTTAGCCAATTGCATTCACTCATTTCTCTCTGTGCATTAATTTATACATTCAGACATAATAAAAAATGTTTCTGTCTCATGCAGTTTTTACATTTAGTTTTGTGTGATCACAGTTGGAGGTGAGTGATTCCAGCTCCAGCAGTAACCTCTCTTTGGCGAAGGCCAGACCCAACAGCGAGCACAATAATGGCCAGTCACCATCTCACCTCAAAGTCCAAAAAAACATCTCCTCCAACCAGAAACAGCGTCGTTACAGTGACCAGGGTGAGTGCGCTTTTTGGACTTTAAATAGTGCTGTGAGGTCTTTATCTTTCTAATCTCCATTCCTCTCCCTCTACAGCTGGTCCAACCATTCCCTCGGTGGGTTACCCCAAGAGAAGTCAGACCACTTCTGCAGAAAGTGACCATAAAGAGGAGGGCAGTGCACAGGCACGTAAGTCCAGCTCATCTGGAAGCCGTGGCATGGCTCCACCGAGCCCCATGCTGGGCAACGCCAACAACCCAAACAAGGCCGACATTCCTGACCACAAAAAGAGTGCCGGTGCCCCTGGGGTAAGTTGGTACCATCCAAGATCTTTTGTATTGTCATTGTTTGTGTAAAATAGATCTGAAGAGAATCTAACAAATCTGAACCAGGGTTATTATATAGTTAACTACAACGAATACTATAAACAACACTTTAAATAAAAAATACTTAATATAAAATCAACCCTAGCTGACATAAAATAAAATATAGAAAACTTTCATTTCAGCTAGTTTTCTCATTTTAATTAGGTAGATGTCATGTAAACATGTCAGCTGTAAGAAATATCAATTTATTGTTTTTAATTTATCCTTATTTTGTTAAACCAAGATCTTTTAGTCAGTGCTGTTTTCAGTTGATTCGTGAACAAAACTTCACTAGTGCACCTACCATCCAGTTACCACAATAACAATAAGCTTTGTTACTTTTAAAAATGAAACAGTCTTTTTAAAATTCTGTCAAGTTTATAGCAAAATTGAAATAATAAATGTGGTTTTGAGGCTCTTTAATTCTCATTAAAGTGTTTCTTTTTAACAACGAATTGGAGTAGAAACAATTATATAATTAAAAAGTTAATATGCTATTTAAATGTGTATGTACAACTTTCTGTTTTAGTGTTGATTAGTAAATAAATGTAATGAATTAATTGATTAGTAAACACAATTTCCTTTCGGTTTCTGGCTAAATTAAATGTTTAATTTCATTTTGGTGTTTCATTTCCGTGCATCACTGATTAAGACTCACACTATAATGTGTATTTCTGCAGAGCAATTCTGTGTCTAGCGGTATGACCAGGAGAAACACATACGTGTGTAGTGAGAGGAACGCCACAGACCGCCACTCCGTCATCCAGAACGGCAAAGAGAACAGGTGAGTCCCTGGGACCTCTCATTTTTAGGTCAAAGGTTGTGAATATCCATTTTCCCTTTCAACATCAACACCGGTTTACGGGAAACGCCACCGTGTTGCTCAAAACCAAAAACTGACAACAAGGAACAATTTGTGTCTTTTCATCCTCACCCAACAAGATATTTTCACCAAAAAAAGTTGTTCTCATCTACAGGTTTCTAAATGTTTGTGGAGCTTCATCTGTTTGTTTGTTTTTTTTCTCTGACGCAATATTTGAAGATGGAGCTTTGGTTTAATACTTTACATTACATTACTTTATCATGTAGACCTTAGACTGAATTGCTGAATGTTACTGATGAAACTTCTAAGGCTGTATAATGAATCAAATTCAAATTGCAATATGCTTATTGAATTACATTTCAGACACCAGTATTTGTCAAAATATCGTGAATATATTTAATAATAATATAAAATATTATAATGATATAAATATTAAATAATAAATTAAATAAATGTATAATTATATGTAATATCTACAATTTTTAAAACAACGGCCAGCCTTGCTGTGCCAGTCTGCCATGCTGAACCGCTTAGCTTTACCATGCAGTCCACAGAGAGGGACAAACCGTGTGCCGAATCCCATATTAGGTATACGCAGAATTCAAAGTCACAAAGTTGACTAGTCCTAAAGGGGTAGTTCAATCAAAAGTGAAGGATTTATCATCCTTAACTCATCCTCATGTCATTTTATACTCTACTGTTCAAAACTTTATTTTGGGGATCCACAAAATATTAAGCAGCACAATTGTTTTCAACATTGATAATAAGAATCATCAATGAGCAGCGAATCAACATAAGGGCCTTTCGCACTGCAGGAATCTTTTCATAGTACCAGAACTAATTCTGGAACTACCCACTTTTCGACGTGTTCGCACCGCCGGAACTGGGCGCGATTTTAGTACCGGGCCGCCTTTTTCGAGAACCAAATTAGCTCCTACTCCGGAGCAGGGTCTAACCAGCACAACTGGTACTAATCGTGACGCAAGTAGACATTGATTGGCCAAACACGTATGAAAACGCCCTCACCCGCCATGATTTAAAACTCTGTGTAAACATACTGTAAGCATGTCAACTTATTTCGCAAGTATGGAGAACAGCGATAGATGGACGGACGCTGAAGTGCAGGCACTTGTAGCAAATGTAGCACTGCCAGTTGTCGTTGGAGATACTTAGTCCTCCTTTCCGTTCTTTCAATCGCTTTACGTATTCATCGACTTTCCATGTCCACTGTGAAACCCGCGAGACACAACAAAAACACAGCTCCGATCACAGCGTCCTCCATCCTCCTGTTGTTAACGTTGTTCTTTGTTTCTGTTGTTGAACGCCGCGCATAAATTGAGGGTGCAAAAAAAATCTAAATATTGAGAAAATCGCCTTTAAAGGTCCCCTGAAATACTTAGAAACACGCAGCGTTACTCTGTGTTGTAGTGTTGGGTCGTTCTTGAACGATTCGTTCATTTTGCTGAACGAGACTCAAATGTCAGAGTCGGTAAAATGATCTGAACTTCCCATCACTACTGTGTTGACGTCATTTTAACTGAAACAGGAAGACAGGGCGGGACATATCAAGCAGCCCCGCCCCTTTTTAAAATAGCCAATAGCATTCGTTTATATCATAGCTTGGAGCGTTCAGAGCCGTTGAGCTCAGTAAAGCCACATTTGACAGGGTATGCTAGCCACAATCTCATCCATATTGCTATAAAATATAGCATTCTGTGTAGAATTCAAATAGCTCCGATACATTTTGTGGTCTGCGCCGTGCTATCGTGTCTCTGGACCGGAGCAGAGTGTGTGGGCGGTGCGGTGGTTAGTGTGACACAGCACGAAACCAGACTTCTTTTTTTCCTCAATGGAAAGCATATATACACTGTTTGAATCGTTCCCTGTCCCCTATATACTGTAGTGTACTACGTGCCATTCACTGTACAGAAAATTTGAATTCTGTGGACAAGTGATCGATTTCAGTTTCATTATCTATTTTATAGTGTAGGGGGCGGGCGCTTCGGATTCTAGAGAGCATTTGATTGGACAGAAAGTTTTATGAGAAGCTGAAGTACGATGTGACGTCAAAAAAATCGTTGAGCCGTTTTGGCGGAAGTGACGAACTGCAAGCTTTGAATGCTTATATCTTCTAAATGTGAATTCCGTCACTGTTTTGGAGCACACTGCCTTATAGATAACCTTAAGACTAACATATTGATACTAACACCCAAAAAACTTTAATTTTAATTTCATGGGGACTTTAAAGTTGTCCAAATGAAGTTCTTAGCAATGCATATTACTAATCAAAAATTAAGTTTTGATATATTTATAGTAGGAAATTTACAAAATATCTTCATGGAACATGATCTTTACTTAGGGGAAGTCGTGGCCTAATGGTTAGAGAGTTGGACTCGTAACCCAAAGGTTGGGATTGACCGACTGGGATTGTAGGTGGGGGGAGTGAATGTACAGCGCTCTCTCCCACCTTCAATACCACGACTGAGGCGCCACACTGCTGTGTGTGTGCGCACTTTGGATGGGTTAAATGCAGAGCACTAATTCCAAGTATGGGTCACCATGCTTGGCCACATGTCACGTCACTTAATGTCGTAATGATTTTTGGCATAAAAGAAAAATCTATAATTTTGAACCATACAATGTATTTTTGGCTATTGCTACAAATATACCCCAGTGACTTAAGACTGGTTTTGTGCTCCAGGGTCACATATTAGAATTATTTCTGAAGAATCATGTGACACTGAAGACTGGAAAATTTGGCTTTGGATCACTGGAATTAATTACATTTTAAAATATAAATAATTTGGAAAAGTGTCATTTTAAATTGTAATAATATTACTGCTTTTATTGCATTTTTTGATCAAATAAATGCAGCCTTGGTGAGCATATGAGGCTTAAAAAACATAAAATCTTACCAAATACAAACTTTTGAATAGTAGTGTACATTTTTTCTTCTGGGAAAAAAAAAATGTTTGAATTTTTCTTTTCTTTTGTCCATAAAATGAAAGTCAATGGGGTCCAGTGTTATTTTGGACCTGACTGACCTTCATTAAGTTTAATGTTCCACAGAAGAAAAAAGTCATACAGGTTTGGAGTGACATAAGGGTGAGTAAATGATGCAGACTTAAAACTATCTTGTTAAGCTAGCCCTTTCTTAGAGGAGTTTACATCAGACACACATTCAGATTAACTAGTCAGTTTTGAACGACCAGTCGACCATCGTGATCCACCCGTATCCTACTTTACTCTCTCTTTGTATTCTTCTCTGCTCTAAGTTTTTTATCTCATATGCTCTGCTTTCTTCGTACATACTATATCTGATCCATCCCACTGCTGTTTATTTGGCCGCCTGCCATTGGCCAGCCTGAGTGAAATGTCGGGATGTGTCAGCACGAGTCCGACAGCGTATGCCGTTGCTCTCGCCAGCTCATCGGCTTCGGTCCGTCTGCGCCACCAAAAGGCCGCGTCCCTCTCGGCCTCCGGACACACCTACCATGCCACCTTGCCGCCCAACGACGGCACCTCTGATCTCTTCAGGCCCAAGTAAAGAGGAGTTTAGCGTCTGTCTCTAATCTTAGTGTGTCTCTCCATCTAATGCCCTCTGACCTCTCTGCTGTCTGCGTCTTTGATTTCCCGCCACCCTCGTCTCATCCCTATAGTGTCTCAACCAATCCAGGAGGACTCGTCGTGGAGCTTCCGTTGCGTTTTAATGTTTGAGGATTTCCTGCATCTTCCCATTTAAACCGTTAATTAACTTCCTTGTGTCTAAACCAACTAATATAGTATATAAACTACATTAACCTAGTAAATGACTAGTGAAAGGACTGTGGAGATGTTTTATGATTAAGTTGATCGTTATGGTGTGCAAGTAACAAGTGTGCAGATTAAGAATTTTGTTTGTGAGTTAAATTACAGTTAAGTCACTATTACAGATGTTCGTTAGTTTGAAATTTAATATGACATTTACACTATATATGTCTTAAGTATGTCTTACACTATATATGTCTTAAGTATGTCTACTTAATTTCAAACTAACAAAGCTATAATAGTGACTTAACCAGTCAAACATTTGTTGAATATGTTCATAATTAATGTGAGGAACTAAACCTGTGGTTACTCTGCAAGGAAACAATGTTTGAGGATTTCCTGCATCTTCCCATTTAAACCGTTAATTAACTTCCTTGTGTCTAAACCAACTAATATAGTATATAAACTACATTAACCTAGTAAATGACTAGTGAAAGGACTGTGGAGATGTTTTATGATTAAGTTGATCGTTATGGTGTGCAAGTAACAAGTGTGCAGATTAAGAATTTTGTTTGTGAGTTAAATTACAGTTAAGTCACTATTACAGATGTTCGTTAGTTTGAAATTTAATATTACATTTACACTATATATGTCTTAAGTATGTCTTACACTATATATGTCTTAAGTATGTCTTACACTATATATGTCTTAAGTATGTCTACTTAATTTCAAACTAACAAAGCTATAATAGTGACTTAACCAGTAAAACATTTGTTGAATATGTTCATAATTAATGTGAGGAACTAAACCTGTGGTTACTCTGCAAGGAAATCTGAACTGACTACATACATCCACTAAAAATCAAGAAAACGCATAAATTAGTTCTGAGAAAATGTCTAACTTCTTTTGTTTGGTGATTTATTGTTTTGGTTTGATATTTTGTTACATTCTGTTGTACTATTTAATGCGTGTATAATTAGGGTTTAAAGGGATAGTTGCTGAAAGAGATTTTATTTCATTTTCAAAAATGCTAATTTTACTATTTTAGTATCATTTATATACTGTTATAGTATTTATTACTATTTTGAAATGGCTTTTATTTTTATATCGCTTTTTTTATATATTTTTTTTTTTGCTTTTTGTCATTTTTTTTTATTTAGCTTTAATATTTTTTTGTTTCGTTTTAGTAATTATAGTGCTTAAATCTAACTTATTTTGTTTTAGTTAATTGCCAAGGCAACATCTGTAATTTTTGTTTAAGTATTTTTTCATCAAATATTTATATTTTATTTTATTTCAGCTTTATTTCAGTTAACAAAAATTATTTTGAATACTTTTAATTTTAATTACTGCATCATTTACTCAGCCACATGTTATTTCAAACCCGCATTACTTTCTACTGCAGAACACAAAAGAAAATATTTTAAAGAGTGTTTTAAAATATGTGACCCTGGACCACAAAACCAGTCTTAAGTCGCTGGGGTATATTTGTAGCAATAGCCAAAAAAAACATTGTATGGGTCAAAATTATCAATTTTTCCTTTTATGCCAAAAATCATTAGGATATTAAGTAAAGATAATGTTCCATGAAGATATTTTGTAAATGTCCTACTGTAAATATATTAAAACTTAATTTTTGATTAGTAATATGCATTGCTAAGAACTTAATTTGGACCAATTTAAAGGCGATTTTCTCAATATTTTTATTTTTTTGCACCCTCAGATTTCAGATTTATCCTAACAAACCATACATCAATGGAAAGCTTATTTATTCCGCTTTCAGATGATGTATAAATCTCAATTTCGAAAAATTTACCCTTGTGACTGGTCCAGGGTCACATATTGACTTTGAATTATGAAATATTGAAATAGGCTATTGCCCCATTGGCTTCTATTGTAAAGACAACAAAAACACTGAGATATTTTTTATGAAATATCTTCTGCTGTTTTTCACAGATAAAAGAAAATCATACAGGTTTGCTATGTGTTAATGATGACAGAATTTTAATTTTTTTTTGGGTGAACTATCCCTTTAAGTGTCCAAAGACCACCTGGTTGTACATGTAACCAGTGTTGTTTGCCGATTTTCCTATTTCATCATACTGTGACCCTGATTCTTCTCTCTTCAGTACGAACACGGCGGCTCAGACGAGTCAGCGAAACCCCGGTGCCTCCACCCACAGCATTAGTAGCGCGACTCCCCCGGACCGCCTGCGTTTCCCACGAGGCACGCTGAGCCGCAGCACTTTCCACGGAGGCCAGCTGAGGGAGCGACGCACGGCCACCTATAACGGACCCCCAGCCTCTCCAACCTTATCACACGATGCCACGCCGCTCTCACAGTCCCGGAGCCGCGGATCAACAAACCTCTTCACAAAGCTCACATCCAAGCTCACACGCAGGTAAACAAACGCGTCACCTTAAATGCTATTATAACAAGTCGTTATTCCCTATGGAATTTGGTTTTCAGTGGAATAAGAATGAAAGAGTTCATTTGGAGTTTGGTATATTTGAAATAAACGAGCTTTAGAACGTAACCGTTTATGGAAACGTTTCCGCCAAGGAGTCTCACAGTGCTCATTTTTCTCGAAATTCTAAGTTTATATCTCACAATTTGGACTTTGTTTCTTGCATTTCTGAGAAGTCAAAATTTCGAGATATAGACTCTCAATTACTTTTTTTTTTTTATTCCGAATTTGCATCTCACAATTCAGTTTTTTTCCCCCCACAGAATTAAAAATAAAGGTAATTAGGACTTATCTCACAATTCTGACTTTGCTCCTTGCATTTGTTAGTTTTTAATCTCACAATTCTGACTTTTCCTCTCAGAATAGCAGGTTTTTATCTCGCAGTTCTAAAAATTAATTGAGAGCTTTAAAGGGGTCCTATTATGCTCTTTTACAAAGTCTTGATTTTGTTTTGGGGGAGTACTAGAACATGCTCTCATACTAGGTTGTTCGAAAAACACATTATTTTTCACATATTTGACATTATTACAACACCTCTCTCCCCAGTCTGGCATGAACGGCTCGAATAGTTCCTGTATCAAATGAAGGCCCGGCTTCTGAAATACGAAATGTGCTGTGATTGGTTATCTGGGCCAGTGTGTGTTGTGATTGGCAGCACTCGGTGCCTGGTCAGGAAATGTCACGCCCCTTACCATAGCCGCCTGC